ACATGTTTAAAAGTGGTCACCGTAGTGCCCAACCAACTTTTAAGGCACGTAAGCTCAAGCTACGTCGCATCTCCTCCAAGACAGGGTTGCCCCTGGATGGGACCGTTACCCTGAAGCCGAATCCCTGATGCCCCTCATGGGGTTGTGAAGCCAGAACCCCAAATCCTTTGTATTATTTTGTTTTTGTTTGGGGGTCGGGGGGGTTGGTTCCGCTTTATAATTACAGTATACTATACCCAAAAAACCTATTCTAATTATTAAGGACCCGATATTAAACCCTAAAACCTCAAGAAGCCCTCCACCTTCAGCCCCAACCCAAACACAGCGGCCTTCCATTAAGCTACATAACCTACCTTTTTGAGGGTTCGTATTACAAACCCTGATGGAAAATATAGGGACCCTACCAAGAAAGTCAGTATTGGTAGCTCAAGGTCATCCTTTGATCTTTTGAATAGGGGCTTGTGTCGGTTGTATTCCAGTGGAACTACAGAGAAAAATAATGTGGAGAGATGATTAATCAATATTCTCACCACTATGTTCTGGCTCAAAACCGTCGACCCCGTATCCAAGGTCGAGGCCCATGACCAGCGCGGTGGCTACCAGCCTGACTACGTGCTTTATTCTCTCCTAAACCCTAAACCCCTCTCTTCTGTTATGGGGGTTCAGGGTCTACAGGTTGGGGATGCACAGTGAGATAGACCTGGGACTCCAAAAACCTACCGTTTTTAGAGTTCGACCCATCTATTAAGGGGTCGTGCCCTACTATCTTGGAGGGTTTGGGGTCACAGGGAATATGATAGAATGTCAGGGATGTGGGTCCTGGGATGCAATACATGCGTTTAAGAGTGTGGGGATGAAAGATACGGGTTTAAGTGTAGTATTTCCCTAAGGGTCCATGTACCCAAATAGTAGAACATTGGCCTTAATGTAGTCCCTATATAGGTACTCTAGGGCCAATGTATATACTATTTGGGTACATGGACCCTTAGGGTTTAGGAGTCTGAAAGGGCTTCCTAGTAAGTTGTATAAGGATCTCAACGGAGCCAAGGGCTGAAAGAGAACACCTTGAGATACTCTAATGAATGCAGGTGCGGTAGTAACTAGAATGGGTTTTGAAAGCATATGCTACTATAGTAACATAGGGACTATAATATGACGCATTTAGTCATCATTATTCCGACCCCCCCCCTCTCCACAATAAATTGAATGAGTTGGGAAGCTTGGGATCGGCAGGGCTTAGGTTTTAGCTTAGGTTTTGGGTTTAGCGTTGATTTTGAGTTTTTGAGGGTTTAGGGTAGGGCGTAACAGGGTTTGGGGTGGGTTTAGGGTTCAGGGTTTTGTTTGCTTGTTTGATCGTCCCATTTCAATCCACTTAGTAACCACTTAGTACACCCTAAACCCTAAACCCTAAACCCTAAACCGTGGCTTACAGTGTTATGGTAAGCCCAGGGCTTCAGTGTTCACGGCTATTTCTGTTCGAAGTATTGACACCTTGGATCTTGGCAAGGACGTGTAATACAGGGGCCTTCACAATTACAATAGGGTTTTGGGGGGTATAGTATACTATAAATATAATCAGGAACCCACAAAATAATCATGTAGGTAATTCTTAACGCACTCAACCCCCACCGTTTAGAAAAGGTTAGTAAATTTTGGCCCTTGTTCTGCCCTAAACCCTAAACCCTAAACCTACCGTTTAGAAAAGGTTAGTAAATTTTGACCCTTGTTCTGCACACGTGTAGCCCTAATTGTCGACACCCATGACCTGCCTTACCAAAATTCAACACCTCCCAAGCCGAACCCCATGTCCATCCTCTCAACCCTACCCCAAAGCCCTAATGTAAGGGCCTTGATAATCAGAATAGGGCTTTAGGGCATATTATGTTATAATTATAAGCCTACTAAGGAACCCCCCAAAAAACAAGATCGGTAAATATTTAGGCCCCTATATTACATCCTAACTCCGCATCTTGAACTCCTAGCATGCACAGTACGACTCAACATCCAAGCAGACTAAGTTTCGGCTTCAGGGCTTAGGTTTGTGAAGTTTAGGGCTCTAGCCGCCTAGGGCGCTTGATTTTCGATTCAAGCTTGCAAGTAGAGTTTCAGACATGCCGAATGTGTTTACCAGACATTTAAGGGTCAGCCCGGCTACCTTTTCGTGTAGGCAAATAAGAAGTTACAAGCGCCAGCCCCTAAATGCAAATAAGAAAGGCACCAAAGCACCCCAAACCTCTGACACAGAAGCCTAAAGTGCCCAAACCCGAAGCTTCCAGGGACCTCCTTATTGGGTCCTCAAAGGGTCCAGGGCCCTACAGTGGCTACAAGGCCCTTGGAAGCATAGGGAAAGCTTTCAAACTCCAAACCTCGAGAGCTCGAGGACAAACGACAAACCTTCCTTTCAGCCCACGGTTTAGGGTTTAGGGTTTAGGGTATGAAAGTACGAGGAATCCGTTCAACGCTTCTAAACGCTCCAAGGCCTGTAATAATTCCATGAAACCCTCGGAATCAAAGTGTACGATTCCTCTCAGTTTCCTTAGTATAGTTGTTGCATAATTAATAATCATTGATAATATCATATGCCCCAATACCCCATTATATAGGGGGTTTAGTCCCCCAACGAGGTTACAGGTTACCTACTCTTATAAGTTTTAATCAACCCTAAACCCTAAGCCCTAAATCATCCCAAGACACACAGTCTTCATGCCGTTGTTGGAGCCACCGGAGAGGTCCTCCGCACAAGGGATGCTCCGGGCCGTGAATGGGGAGTTTCAGAAAATTGGGGTACCTTACTTTTGGGGTCCGTATAATAGGGATCCTATTGTTTGTTTAGGGTACTATCTTAGGGTCCCGTATTGTCGGAAACCCCCAATTGTGAAAGGTTTGCGGGTTAAGGGTTAAGCGTTTAAGGGTTTAGGGGCTTAGGGTTTTATGCAAGACGTCTGCTTACCGTCGAGTTTAGGTTTAGGGCAGCTTTGTTAACATATGACCATATGGGTAGTTCTGTAAACCATAGGGTCTGTTTTGGAGTCCTTGTTATAAAGGTGCCGTACTATTTGGGGGGGCCTAATTAGCGTCCCGCTTTAGTGAACTACCTATATCCCTAGCAGCCCTATATGACACCTACACTAGGCTCGGTCCCAAGCTGACTTCCATGGTTCCAGAACCCTTGCCGGCATTAAGTGTCATCGTCAGCTGTTCGGCTCAGGCTTAAAGCACAAGCCCGAGCGAGAGGGCCAGTTTAACTACAGAGACTACCTAAAATAAAAAACAAGTTAACCAGCATTAGCCTACTACTCTTTAGTCTTTGAGGGCCTCTGCATATTCGGGTTCACAACATGATTGAAGCTGCAACAGAAGCAGCTTGTGTTGGTGCAGTTGAACCCTGGATACCTCGTCCCGATCCCGAATCCGTCAGCCTTAACGAAAGTAAAAAACTAGATCCTAAACTATGACCCCCGCAAAACCGGCAACCCCTGATGCCCTTAAACCCCCAAGAACCTGAGTCCTAAGACCATTCTGCCAGCGTAGATTGCGTAGATCCCCAAACAGTGATAGAGCAAACCTTCAATGACGAGCACGAACACGACCACCAGGACCACTAGGTCCGCCAACAACCAGCAAAACCCGGAAGTCGCCACAATCTGGGAACGAGACCCTAAAACAACAAAAGCCCCATACGCTGCCTAAACAGTAGTATGGGCCGTCAGGTGTCTGTCTCAAAACCCTAAACCCTAACCCCTAAACCGTCTCCCTAAACCCCAAACCCCAAACCCAAACCCCTAAACCGTCTCCTCATGATACATCACCTGGTTCGGTGGCGCAGCGGACCTCTGATCCATGGCCGCCTAGGTTCAAGGGAGGTCGGAGTTTTGGCGGGGGCAGGGTTTAGGGTTTGGGGTCTTAGGATTGAAAGAACTTGTGTGGCTCAGGTCAAGGACTTTGTCTGGCTGTGTGAGGGTTTGTCCTGGTTTCTTCTTTGCGCTTCTGGGATTTTTGCACTTGGAATACAAGTTAAGTTGTCCAGGGTTCAGGTCCGGGGTTTTGTGAGCTGCACTGGGCTTGCTGGGCTGGCTGGACTGGGCTGGCTGGGCTGAGAAACTCATAAAACACACAATTTCTATCTGGAAGGGTCTCGGAAAATAGGGACCCTAATAAAGTACCCTAAAGAGTAGGATCCTAATTATAAGGACCCCACAATAATACCCCTTATTTTCGGAAACTCCCAATTTACCATTTCTAGTGAGGGTCTAGGGCTTAGGATTTAGCGCTTACGCCCCTTACGCTCTCGCCCAAGCCCCGAAAACGAAGCAGAAGGACGGAGCTTAGGTATCTAGTGGGGATCTGCAAAACCGTGCTTGACGGTTTGGGGTTGAATTGAAAAGTTTACGATCGAACGACAAGACGAAGAGACATGCACACAGACCCTGGACCCTGCATGCCGCGTCTCGAGACTATGCCTGGTATATTTCCGCTATACATGTGTGTGAAACAGTACCTTACACGAGTTCAGCAACGACGATCATAATAACAACCCGTTATTTGCAACGCGACTTGAAACTAAAAACATCGCAGGTAATAATAATATCAATATCTGTGCTAGAGTGGCTGTCCCGTTGCAGTAGTAGTAGCAATCGTCATCATCGTGGTCGCTGTCGTCGTAATACTGGCAATACTACGAGAAGTTGCAATGCCAGCAGAGTGACTAGACCCTGCACCCAAACACCCAAGCGAAATGCGCAATGATGCCGATCCTTTCCTGGCTTCTTGCTAAGTAACTTGCCATCAACGGGTGTCTTCGTGGAATACTATAGTCTTTCCCTTGGGGCCCGTGTGCCCGTATACTATATACTTCGGGTCCAGAATCTAGAGTACCCATATAGCGATCCGTTGGAGGCACTGGTATGAAATACATGAGCTAATATAACATAGAATCCATAATAATTACCTATACGATTTAATTTGGGGGTTTCTTATTATGTAAGTGTGGTACCATATACCCCAAAACCCTATCCCTAAACCCTAAACCCTAAACCCTAAACCCTAAACCCTAAACCAGGCACATGGACCTGTTAGGCTTCTTTGCCTTGGACACTTAGATTGTTAAAGGAAACTACAGGTGGGGAGTTTACGGTATATAGGGCTCCTATAAGGTATATAGACC